CAGCGCAGCAGCAACACCTGCGTCAGGATCATCACAACACGATGAAAACATAAAATGCAGGATGACTCGTGTTTCTGTGACAATCTGAGTCTGTTTCTGCATTTTTTCCTCTATTTTACCAAAACTAGTTATTATTTTTAGATTTATGCATTTAATCTTGTGTTATTGTACATCCATGCAGCTTTTCTTCATTTAACTCTTCAAACATGTTCGTTTTTATATTTCTGTTTTAAATAAATGTTCCCGTTTCCTGCAACGGAGCCGAAAGGCTGACGAGACAAACGAAACCAGCCTCACGAAGCAGAAGAACAAAGCAAAGATGAACGAGTATTTAAATAAATAATCAACTAACAATATTAGATAATATTAACAATAATAATCAATAATAAATGAAGTAAATTAAAATATGTCAGGGCCAAATAAATCTGTTTTATTAGATAAATATAAATAACACATCTCACTGTTATTTTTAATTTAGAGGCTTTTTTTTAGAACGGATCTATTTTCTGTGGCGTATTGATCTCCCTGGACACAGACACATTACAGCGGCCTCGTGTCCTGTACGTGTAACGTGTGTGCTGCATGTTGCAAACCACCGAGCGAGCGTTCAGCTTCACAGCGAAGCTCACACTGTCCAAAGCTCACGAGCACAAAACTCATGCTGAAGAACGTCTAAATCCATAAATCATTCACTCCCAAAGGCTCCACGCGGGATGCATCGAACCTGACAGGCAGGGCGAGCTGGGGGCGTGGCTTAACCGGACTTTTTACCCTTTATTCATACGCCTAAATATTTCATGAATTCACTTTTGTCCCAACGACCTGTCCTGATCAAATCAAATAATCTCATGGACGGACCGGAGGAGCCGCCGACCCTCCCGACCGGCCTCTCACATGTTCGCGCTCATCAGCGGAGGAACATCCATCACACTCTGACGTCCACGTCTGCTTCAAAGGCCGGTCTGTGTAAACCTCGTAGCTCGTGGAAACTTTAAATCCAGAGTAAGAACCAGGAAACATCCGAATGAAAACAAACCCACGATCCACTTTTGCCCACTTAACTGCTCCATGATCTACGGCCCGGCAGACGGGAGATCTGATGTGGTTCCATCTGTTTACAGCCTGCAAATGGATGCTAATGAAGGCACGCCGGGCAAAACAGCGGCGGCCATGTAAACAGCAGCGCGGGAAACTGAATCCGCTGAGCCGCTTTCAGCTGCAGTCTGAAAAAGCTTTTTTTTTGTAATTGCAGCCATCATGTGGGAGACATTTACTGCGAGAGAGATGTAGCAATTATGGAAAGCAAAATAAACGAGCGAGGAGCTGCTGTCGGCACGCTCGCCTCTGAGGCGGCGCCCGCAGCGACCTGCAGCCGCTGGCACTGCGGGGATAGCGATTTAAGGATCAATACGAGGATTTACGTTATCGTCGCCAGCTGGACCGCCGTGGCCTTCTGCGCAGGAACCTCACCCATCAGCTGATATTCAGAATCCCAGTGACAGTCCTAACTGGTCCCAGTACACCAGCCAGAACTGCAGACACACACATGACGACTTTGTCCAATCAGACCCATCTGAGACCGTAAACCTATCAGGACACGGTTAACAGACAGCAACAGGCTCACTCTTCAGCGCCCCCTGCTGGACTCGGTTAAAGCGCCTCTTCATATTCACAGCTCTGCTCTGTCCTGCAGGGGCTGATTGGTTCATGAGCTACACCTGGACCAGGTATGAAGGTTGGTGTGAGGGACAGAAAGCGGAGTTGTGACTGAGGACCACGGCGTCCGAGGGTCAAGCCGTCTGTGTGGACGAGGCCAGATGGACTTATGAGAAGTTAGGAGAAGCATCCTGTAAGCGAGGCGTGACCTCACAGGATGTTATGATGGCGAGATGTTCCCAGCCTTATGTTAGAAGCTGAGGGCGGAGTTCTGGACTTCCAGGGCTCCTGAACATGATCCACTGCTGTAACTCAGACGGGCGGTGCTAAAGGGCCAAAGATGAGCTGGAAGGAAGCTGCTCTGGTGACAGATGTGATGTAAGCCTGGAATAAAGTGACGAGTCCAGCACGGCTCTCAGGCTGCAAACCTCTGGGTCCACGTCGGGGAGTAAACTCCACCCACAGCCCAGAGCTCGGCTCCACATGCACAGGCGATGCTGTTGGTCCCAGATGTGTGGAAACATCTGCACCATCAGACAGTACTCACAGGTGTGTGTCTGTGAGTATGTGTGTGTGTGTGTGTCTCAGACCAGCCCATCTGCCTCTCTGAGTCTGCAACTTGTTTTCAAGTAACTTTGGACACACACACACACACACACACACACACAC